ATGAAAATTTTTTAAAAAATATAATTAATAAACCCAATCATATTAACTACTTGAGGGGTTTTGTTGATAAAGAGAGTATTCAAATCACACAACGAATTGAAGTGAGAACTATCTCGCAATGTCCTTGTTTGACAATCAGCAGTTAGCGGTTAGCGTTAACGGATTTGACCAGCGAATTATATCAATGGTTGATAAAAAGATATTTGAAAAAATTAGCTGTTTAGATTAACATGTAAAATGACCTAAGGGTATACGAATAATAATAATAATAATAATAATAATAATAATAATAATAATAATAATAATAATTGTTTTTAAAAAATAAAAAATATATAATTAAGCCAATCATATTAACTACTTTGGAGATTTATTGATAAAAAGAGTATTCAAATCACAAAACAAATTGAGGTAGGAAACTATCTCGCAATGTCCTTGTTTGGCAATCAGCATTTAGCTCTTCAATATTAGTATATATTTAATATTTTATGCCCTAATTTTTATTTTTTCTCCCTTATGTCCCGTGTTTGGTTTCAACCATACCTATACAATTATTTTATTGACAATTATAATCAATTTTGACTATATTATCTTGCATTTGTAAACTTAGAATTACATATTTAAATACGTAAATTCAACATAAAATTATCTATGCATGAACAACTCCAATATAATCTTGTCTTGATATATACTTTGAAGTACTTATTTAAAAAAATATTGGGCATTATCCCAATCGCGCAATGCGCGTAAAAAACTAGTAAACTATATAAAAAAACAAATTAAATCTCCTACTTATTTCCTATGATATGATGCACAAAAATGGTTAAAAAGAAATATTTTGTTACGTTTTTTTTTTTTTTTTTTTTTTAATAGTTAAAAAAAGTTTCAGAATGTGTTTTCTAAAAGAAACCATGTTTTCAATTCGAAAAAAAAAAAGAAACCATGTTTTAGTTGTATAAATTAAAAAAAAAAAAGTTTTGTTTTTGTTTTTGTTTTTGTTTTTGTTTTTTTTTTGTTTTTTGTTTTTTTGTTTTTTTTTTTTTTTTTTTTTTAAGTTCAAAGAAACATGAATTCTTACTCTTTATTCTAATGCTATATATTCCTTTTAAAATTTTTCTCTTAATTTCTTCTCTTGACATATACGTCATTATTTGATTGGACGATTTTATGCAAAAATATTTAGACATTTTGTAATCCCATATTTAGTCTCTTTTAGGTTGTATATGATGAATAAAGTTGTTATTCTTAAACAACTATATGGAAAATGTTTAATAACATAACTATTCTAAACAAATATATAGTTTTCCTTTATATTAAAGTGTTGTATAACATTAGAAAAATTTCAATATGCTTACATAAATTATTAAGGAAGATTTTAAAGTATCAATCAAAACTGTGCTAATTTGCGCCTGGTACAATTTAAAATACATGTCTAATTGTACAAGATACTGTGAAGATCGACACTTGTCCCTACAGTATTAGGTGGAATCTAAAACACTTTTTAATTATATTTGGTGCAAATTAAATCAGTATTTTGTCGATTGACACTTAATTTTTATTTTTTAAATTAAATACTTTTTCTTGCAAGTGGTCACTATAGTTACTTTTAGTGAATGTTGAGCTTATCTTATTCACTTCACAAAAGAGATTTATTTTAATTTGATAATAAACTAAACCACTATAATCATATTTGAAAGAACTTCATGAGTCATGAAAGCAATATATGGAATCACCTACTTAGTAGGAGCAACACTATTTAAAATATGATCTACTTTTCTATTATTATTAGATTACAATAATGGATAAGGGTGATTGTGTAAAGAAGTCAAAAAAAGATAGGCAAGTAGGCAACTAGCTAGACATGAATATGGGATTAGAAGGTAGCAAATTGGTGTTCTAATTAAGATAATAATATATGGCCTACTTGGTTGAGTATTTACACATGTAAGTGATACATGAAAAATTCTATCGCAAAATAAAATATTTAAAGGTATTATAAAAAATAAGTAAGGAAAAATTAGTTTAATCATAAATAAGTTATTTTTAAAAATTCAAGAATGACGTAATATTAGTCCTCATATATTATTTTAAGAATAAAATGACTTACGAAATGACGTGATAGGCCTATCATCATTGCTGCCATTGCATTCATGGCTTATTCCATGAACCAAACTAATTATTATTAAAAGTTACAAAACTCACCATCACTTTTGCAAGATTGTGGTGGTTTTGGTCTCCTTTGACATAAACATAGGATGACATTAAGGCCAAGTGAAATATTTTTGTAAACATTTTAGTATTTTGTGTCAAGATAAAACGTTTACCACTACACTAAAATCTATAATTAGTAGTGAATATATAAATTTATTTCTTTATATTTGCATAATCGTTAACCAGTCAACGCCATATTTTAATGGCATGATACTGAATTTGGTCCTCCAAGCCTACGCCCAACACTCTATTCAATTTAGATGAAATATATATATGATGAAGTTTTAAGTCAATCTAAATGGAATAACCCTTTAATTGTGTTTCTGATCTTCAAAAGATCAAATAAATTAAAGTCACCACAATATAATCTTGCAAACTTGAGGGTGTGTTCTGCTACTTTTGATAGTGAAAAATCAAAACAATTAATAAGGGATTAAAAAAAAACCCCTTTTCTAAACGCCATTTACAATAACATTTTGATGACTTCCTTTCAAAAATAAAAAAAATAAAAAAATTTGATGACTTGAAAATAAATAGGGAGTATAAAAGAATAATGTGACCATTGGAAATATTGCACAAAATTTAATGTTCTCAAATTGTCAAACCTTAAATGAATAATAGTTGAAAATGATTTTTGTATAGATATAATCCGATCCTCCTAACAATATTGTAGCAATTAATATAATTATCTACTACATACTTTCTAAATGTTGTTCAACCACAAATCAGTTGTCGATAAAAGATGCCTTTTGACAGAAATGCAAATGTCAACTGTGGGGTGTTCATACTTAAAAGGAAGTTTTGGATAAGCCGACAATCTGGTGCAAAAGTTTGAGGTCAACAAATTCTTGCATAGCCAATAAAACCTATATATATATGGCCCAAACTGGATGAGTTCAAATCTTTTGCCTACTAACTACTAATTACAGACATTTTTTAAGTACTTCTGACTTATGTATTATCATAGCGACATGAAATTTGAATCAGAAAATAAATATGAAAAAAGTCTTACTTTTAGCAATTAGGATGATGGTTTTGTTGTGATCGGGTCTAACATAAGCCGGATATTGAAGTACGTACATAATAGGGATAGGAAAGTAGTAGTATTATTGCATGGGGCGCTACGTCCAAAAGAGTACATACAGAGCTCGAGATACTAGCACAAAACAGCAGCCTAAAGAATACATAAATATTAAATAATAAATACTATAGCCCTAATAATGGACTAAAGATTAGGACCACAAACCACTAGACCAAGGAAATTGAGTGAACCTAGGGATGTTGTCTTTAAGAGCAATCCCATAAGGGGGTTGTTCACGGTATTTTAGGCAAAAGGTGTGAAGTGGAGGAGAGAGGAGAGGAGAGAGTTGCTTGCATGAGGTTAGGGATTTTGTCCCCTTGTGTGGGTCCCACAAAGGAAAGAAGCAAGCAGAGAAGGGGAGAGTGGGCTGCACATTCGCGCCGCCGCGTGCGCTCTTCACGTTATTTTTATTTTTTTTTTCTTTGGGTTCAGGTCTCACAAGTGACGATTCTTTTTGGGCTAGTTCCCGTACCTTCCGGAGCGAACAGAGATTAGTCGGGTGGACTTGAATCGTTAAACGGATAGAGAAAGATCCATACCACCTCGTGGTTTACAAAAAAAAAAAAAAAATGTTTTGATAGGGAAATTTCACATACTCTTACGTGCACTCAAACTCCACAATTTACTGACTAAAAATTTAGATCACTGAGACGTTCCACATTTTTTATCACAAAATTTATGGAGTTGGATTGCAGTTTGAGAAGAAAAAATAGAAATAGGAGGTGAAATACCACCACGGCACCACTAAGCTCTAATTTACAATTTAAAAAAAAAAGTATGCAATAGTTATGCTGTGCAACCGAATACACCATGCGCATAGTGCATACGATGCAAAATGACGTCGTTTTGACTAAAAACGCGCGTCCCACTTAAAAAAAAAAATTCAGGTTCGATTCTCGGCAATAGCATTATTGTGGATATATAGTTATGAATTTCTGGATATATAGTTATGAATTTATGGATATTTAGTTCATTCATTGTAGATATTTACTTCATTCATTCATTGTGGATATATAGTTATGAATTTCTGGATATATAGTTATGAATTTATGGATATTTAGTTCATTTATTGTGGATATTTAGTTCATTCATTCATTCTGGATATTTAGTTATGAATTTCTGGATATATAGTTATGAATTTATGGATATTTAGTTCATTCATTGTGGATATTTAGTTCATTCATTGTAGATATTTACTTCATTCATTCATTGTGGATATTTAGTTCATTCATTGTGGATTTTTACTTCATTCATTCACTGTGGATATATAGTTATAAATTTATGATTATATAGTTATGAATTTATGGATATATAAAAATACTATTGCCGGGAATCGAACCTGATTTCTTCTTTAAATGGGACGCACGTTTTTTAACCAAAACGATGTCGTTTTACATCGAATGCACCATGTGCATGGTACATTCGGTTGCACAGCATAATTTGCACTATATTTGTATGCCAAAGACCTTGTGGTTGAGTGGCATGATTATGGCTCTCCTGAATGAGAAGTTACATGTTTGATCTCCAGTGAGGGCATTGACTCTTTGTGCTTCAATAGGTTGAGAAAGTAAATACTACAATGTAACTTGACTCAGATCCATTGTAACAAAGTCAATAGTACTAAAAAAAATTTATCTGCCTTGTTAATGGAAAGATTAAAGTGCAATTCTCCCAATAAAGTATTTTTAAATTGAAAGCTATAAACTAAGTATTTTGAATAAAATTGTTATGAAATAAGAATAAATTGTTGAATGAGAAATGGCTAGCTGAAAAGCTGAGAATGAATGGTTAAGAAAGGCATTATATTATTAGCCCAAACTGGACCTTGTAACCTCATAAGCCAAGAAGCAAGCTGCATTTGCTGGAACACTTCTAGCCATGGCTGGTCCAAATCCTTTGTAAAGGCCCTTCACTCCCTCCGACGCCAAGATCTTTTTGAAGGCGTCGATGGAGCCCGAGAACTTAGGCTTCTTGTAATCGTCGACCTGGATTACGCTCTTGATCACGTCGGTGGGGTAGACAGAAATCCAAAAGGAAGCCCCAGCCAGTCCTCCTGCTATAATCAGAGAGCCTCGTCCCAGCCCCGAAGTGTCCTGCCCGCCTGCAAGGTACTGCTTTATGGCCTCGTACACACCGAACATTGCAGCGTTTCCGGGTATTTCACGAGCCATAGTGGGGACCAGTCCCTTGAAGAGGCCCCTCGTGCCTCCTTCGGACCGGAGGACTTGCCTCGCCACGTCCATTGGCCCGGAATACTTCACTGCTGCCACCGCAGCTCCACCTGCTACAGCTAACGCACTCTGCGCCTGCAATCTGCATTTGCATGGGAAAAATTAGATTAGGCACTGACAAAAAATCGCTAGGCGCTCCTCAGGTGCTCGGGGGCCTCGTGTATTTTTTTATTTTATTTTTTATTTATTAAAATTGTTTTAAATTTTTTCTAATTTTTTAAAGACTAATAATTATAAACTATTTAATACGTTAATAGTTAATACTAAAAAAAATCTAGAATTTGAATAATTTAGCGTTATTTCGCTCAAACCAACATAATAACCCATTAAAAAAAAAAAAAAAAAAACAATAGCTAATCGACCGACTAGGCGGCCTAGTCGGTCAGGGCCTAAGTGGCCTAGTCGGTCAGGGCCTAAGTGGCCTAGTCGGTCAGGGCCTAGACTACCGATTATGGTGATACGCTAGGCAGTTGACCGGCGCCTAGGCTGGAGTTTTGCAACATTGCCGGCGCACTGGACACCTTAGTGTAAGCATTTTGGGGGCATCATGCCCACTGACTTCATATCTAAGCGTATAAAAAAAGTTCGGGATGCCAAGTTTATACAATCACTTTTCTCGCTGAAACTAAGGCTTCACATTCTATTCCGATCACTAACTCTTTTTGGCATTCTATTCCGATGGAGTCATGATTGCCAAGAACGAATATGATTCCCAGTATTATCTTGAGATCAAACCATCTTCGATTAAATAATAATACCAATTCCAATAATTTATCTATTCCTTTCCGGAGATTAGTTCTGCTATCACGTCCTTAATTCTAGCATACGAGATGGAACCAATGTCTAGGAAGGATCGAATTACTGGAAATTACGTTCTAGGGTGAGTACTTGATACACTAGAAAACGTACCTGCATTTGATTAATTCAGTTGGGCAGGCGAGAAAAGAAACGGCAGTTCCTGCCCCTGCCCCGCAAATGATTTGCTGGCTCACAGTAAGCGGGACACCTGGTTCAGACCTCACCAATGTCTCCATTTGACCTCTAACCGTGAAGAGCACAGCGTTGAAGGCAGCCACAGTCGCAAGCGGGGCTCCCATGCCTTTGTACAAACCCCTCGGGCCTTCTGCAGCGACTGTCTGCCTTACAGCATCCATGGCACCCGAATATTTCGGCGCCTGCCCGGGAAGGGGAGCCGGCTGACTTTGTAGCTTCACCTTAATGGTATCAAAAGGATGACCACATATCAATTGCGCCGCCCCTCCAACAGTCCCGGCAGTCAAATCCTTGGCAACATCACCCATCTGCAAAAATACACGAATTGTATAATCGATAACAACATTTCCCGAGATAACAACATCCTTGACAAAATCATTCCACAATAATAATATATGGGGAAAAAAGCTTAACCGAGAACATAACTAGCAATCCAATACAACCAAGAATATCGTGAAGCTTTGCACAGACTAATCAACTTAATTATTACAACGTCATTTGATTCTCAAACACAACACTCAAGATTAGGTACACAGGGTAATAACACTTTACCGAGAACAGTAGATTCAATCATGAAGCAGACGTTATTTATTTATTTATTTTTTTAAAATCTGATTTTCAGTATGACATCGATCATAATTCACAGATGTTTAGTTATAAGTATGTCTAGTCACCAAGTGAGGCTGCTATAAGTATGTCTAGTCAAAAGGAGCAAGTAAATTGCCTCTAAAACACTTCTTCGATGGCAATTTCAATCAACTATAAGCCAGGATGTCAGGAGTTAACTCAATTTTAAATGCATTATTACATTGAATATGTTTCTAACATCATATTGTAAATACATATCTCTTACAAAAACCTTACTGCAATTGATTTCCTTGATCTCAGATGAACCCCAGTCCTTAATCTAAGACCTTTAGGGCAATGAGCCAACCGCACCTGAAATTGATAGACACAATACAGCAGTTAATCAGACGAGTACAATAGATACATGAATACATTTCATGGTGCACAAAGAGAGAGTGAGATAGCACTTAACAATGCAAACAAAAACACCAAATTGGTAGGGGCAACCCTAGCCAAGTTGGTCAGGTTGTTGATTGGAAGTTGGTCAGGCTGTTGATTGGTAACTACAAGGTTACAAGTTCGACTCCCAACAGGAGTAAACTATTGGTCTTCTTGGTTTGAGCCAGTTAGCTATGGGCAACCTAAGCTGGTTAACCTTCTTGTGGTCCCCTACCATCTAGGGTCACAGAATGCACACCCTCAATAGTTACTGCGGGTTTCCCTCGCCACTCAAAAATACCAAATTGGTATCACAAAGTTCCCAATTTTCAGGTCATCAACACAAATAGATGAGTAATTTGCAGAGACATGAATAAAAGAAGCTCCTTTCTTATTTCTACAATTTCCAAGTGATTGAATGTGCAAATTCAAGAATGTCTCATGGTTTCAAAGTTCAAACTACTATTAAGACATAACAGAATCATGAAACCAGTAAGAGCCACACAAATGGGGACAAGAAAGGGATTGTGGTGGCTCGGAACCCCACGCTGATACACAGAAAAATCCCAATTTTTAGCCTAAAAACCAAGAATATCCCAGTAACATCAATCAATCGAATAAAAGATCAAATTTTTACCTTAATCAAGAAGAATTTAGGGATTGGGTAAATCCATACCTGCAAGAGAGGGAGACGATTCGAGGAGGCAGACGAAATTGTTGCGGCAAACTCACCTCTTCAAGGCCCCAACCCAACTAAAACTTTAAGAATATATGTGACTGCGACAAGGAACAGCAATGTAGTATCTCATATTCGTGATTCGTGTACCCAAAGAATCTCTTACCTAATTAACATTATCGTTTTTATTGCCTGCCAACCACATAAAAAAGGAAATTGAAAAGAAAATTGGGAAATACACAGAGTCACAGAGTGACCAAATCACCTACTCCAATGACTCATGATCGACAGTGCACTGATTTTGACATATTTGTCTTCTCGCTTTATTTTATTTTATTTTCTAAATTCTCTTATAATTTTTTGTGTTACTACGGTTAAAAATATTAGGACTCGACTAGTAGTATTAGACTAGATCTCTATTATATTAGTAGTATTAGACTAGATCTCTATTTCATGTCTTTATATACTTTGTATCAGCTGCTCTTGATCAACATACAGAAAATATATTTTCATAAAAAATATTGGTCTTATGTAGCTCAATCTTTTATAACATGTGTGGTTCATTGAATAAGTCACAAATGACTTAATATTTATGGGCATATGTCTATTCCATTGTTTGTTCTTTGCATTTTACTCAAGCTCTCTAAGAGAAAGAGTTCTTGTACAAGGAAGCTACGTGCCTACGTACACACTTTTACACTGAAAGCGACCAAGAAAACTCCTGCGCTAACGTAACTGTAATTTGGTGGGTCTCCAAGATCCTTTCGATGGCATATGTTGAAGAGATATCTATCTAATTCGATCGATTGCGTAAAGCCCGTGTAGGGATGGCAATGGGGCGGGGTGGGTGCAGGGATATATCCCCCGCCCCCGCACCCGCATTCCCAACCCACTCCCCGCACTCGCACCCGCACTCGCACGGGTAATGAAATTCCTATCCCATACCCGCCCCCGCGGGGATTTTGCGGGTGCGCGTAATACCCAACCCGAAATTCTAATTATTAATATTACACTTAAATCTAATAAAAAATTTTACACTACAAAATTCTAATTATCACATGGATTTTTTTATAAGTTTGAACGTAACTCTAAAATTTAATAAGAGCCAATGAAGTTAATTCTTAATTGAAACTAAAATTGTGTTGGTAGTATAAATTGTATTAAGTGTTTACTCATTATGTTATTTGTGCTGTTCCTATTCAATTTTTATTAACAGAAAACTAAGGAGTTTAATTCATTATGAATTTTTAATTATAAAATATACATAAACTTATATAATAAATGAATACTAATAACAATATATATATAAGTGCGGGTGCAGGGCGTGGATACCTCCCCCCGTACTTGCCCCCATACCCGTGCGGGTATACAAAATTCCACCAATACCCGCACCCATTACCCAAATTGTGCGGGTATTTTAAAACCCGTAAGGGGATGTGGGGAATCTATTGGGTGCGGTAGAATTGCCATCCCTCTGCCCGCGATAGCAACAGAATTGGGGAAATTAAATTAGTGTGGTCTTGTTTTTCTTCCTTCCATTTAGTTAATATTACATTTGCAGTAACTAGTAAGTACATAATATGTTAACTATACATATATCATATCAAGTAATTTTAAGATTGTTCTAAGTTGATAATACGTAAATTGTATGTAAACAAATTTAAAGCTAAAGGCTAATGACCTTGTGGTCTAGTTAGGGCAGTGCAGTATCTGAACATCCATATCTGATCCGTTGCATTGATAGAAGACGGTTAATCAAATTTGGTAGGGGGCTATATTTGCTATCCGAACTCGGCTGAATATTCGAGCTAGGGTAAGGGTTGGTAAGGCCTTAAGTATACGACGTCGTGTGGGATGACTATATATAATGCGATGAAGGGCTGAAACCCTAGTTCTTTCGTTCATTTGCGCAGTCACCTTCCACTCCCTTCCAGAGAACTCTCTCGTTCTATGACATCTCTCTTCCAGAGTCTTCTCAGTTCTCTCTTCTCTGATCTCTCCACTCTCTACTCTTAGTGTGAGACTCTAAGCACTATCTCACTCCCAGTTTTCTCCGGTGGAAGCTATTAGTCTTCGCCTCTTCGGCCAGTCGGTGGAAGCCCTATTCTGGTAGCCCCTGAATTCGGCGACCGGGGCTATGAGAGTGAGACGCAGAGACGGTGACCTGACCTGACCGATGGATTGCAGATTGCTGGCTAGGAATCGAAGCCCTTTGTTCTTGGGGGTTTAATTTGGAGAACCAAAGTAATCTCTAAACCCTAATCTTATAGATTATTAGATTATAGTTTTATAGATTGTGATACATTGTTGTGACTTGTGATTCTATGATTCTGATTTCTGTGGACTGTGACACTGTGAATCTGTTGAGAAGTTCTAGATTGCATGTCACTTGTCCCTTGATTGTGAAATTTGTGATACTTTGTTGTGATTCTATGATTGTATCATTTCTATGGACTGTGATACTGTGAATCTGTTGAGAAGTTCCAGATTGCATGTCACTTGTCCATTGATTAGTTGATCACTTGAATGTGCAATTTGTTATACTTTGTTCAGTTGTTGTGATTCTATGATTTGGTGGAACCCTAGTCCCTGTCAGCCCTGTGTGTAAAATCCATATTAATGATTAGCATTATAAACTTATAAAGTATATATATGATACTGTGAATCTGTTGAGAAGTTCCAGATTCCAGATTTGCATGTCACTGACTTGTCCTTAAAGGCTTAAAGGGTTAATTAATTGGGGAATAATTTCCCCTGATTTGGTGGAAGCCTTAGCCTCTGTGTCTGAAATCTATATAAATGATGAACATTCTAAAGTAGATGTATGCTACTTAGCTTAAATGCCTGATTATGGATTTCTTTGTAAGTTACAAATTGTAACTTGTAAATGTGAAACTGTGCAAGTATCAAGTTTGAAGTTTATGGATATGTGACCCTTAAATCATTTATGTGCAATTCTGCATACATGATGAAATGTGCAATTAACTGAAATATGTGTAATAAATAATAATGATGAATTTGTCCTTGTATCTAAAATGAGGGATTCCTATTTACTAATACTTTCCTACTATTACATTATAGATGGAAAGTGTTGGTGGGTCTGGAAGTCAACCTCCTCTGCAAAATGTGGAACATGATATGGAAGCAGGAGCTGCAGAGAAAGATACATCTCACCAGCCATTGCCTCCATCTATTCCAAAAAAAAAAAAAAAGAGGTTGAAACCAGATTTCTTGAATTGGATCACTTCGAAAAAATTAAGAACAATGATGACATTATCATCAAAGGCAAGTGTTTATACAGTGCAAAGATGTTTGCATGTGAGTCCAAGAAACATGGGACTTCTTCTTTGACAATCTGAATGCTCAAGTGAGCTATGGTTTGCCAACTTTGATCAAAGGGCTACAGTCATGGAGCAAAGGATGGGGATTGAGAATGTACAAAGATGGACTCCCTATGGTTGGGATCCAAGCTACATGCCACCAGGCGACTCCTCGGGAGACTTTAATCAAGGTAACTAGTTAAGCTCTTAAGTTCAGTTTTAGATTCGTCGGTGCAGTAGCTAGATTTTAGATAAGATAGATAAGAACTCAGAGATTCCTAAATCTTTCCCAAGTCACCCAACAGAAAATTCTAACCTTTAGTTATATCACCTTTTCTCTTTGAGAACTTGATCCACCCGTTTCTTCTAAGTTTCGGGGCGAAACTTCTTTTAAGGGGGATAGAGTGTAACAACCCAAAATTTCATTTTATAAATTCAGTATTAAGAAATCCCAAAGTATCTTTTTCACTCCATTAAAAATTTTTGCGATCAATCGGTGTTTGACTAAAAGAATTTTGTCGTATTTTAAAATTAATTCGACACCGAAGAAATGAATCCCATTCGAAAATCCCTAAGTTTTCGGGTACTTCGCGTACCAAGATTTAAATCGAGAATTTTATCTGAGTGAGACCGGGAGAATTCAAAAGGGATTTTGAACAAGTGTTCATCCATATAGCTTTTGGGAAAATTCACTTTCAACCCCATAGTAATAAAAGATAACATTTCTAGCCTATGGTTCATGTTGCTTGGTGGACCACAAGACATCCAAAATCCCTTATTGATTCATCTTTTAGCTTGGGAAATTACCCCTTTGTCCTCAACCAATCATTGTGAATCATCCTAGGGTTTTGAACCCTATATAAACCACCTTATTTCATCTCATTTTCCTGATCTCATTCTTTGCCTCTTCCTCACATTTTTGTCGTCGAAGAATAAGTAGAGAGACAACAACCTAGTAAGCTTGTTCATCTTTCATTCTAGCCTCTTTTCTCTTCTAGTTTTCTTTAGTCTTTGAGGTTCTAGGCTAAGGATAGAAGGTGTGTTTGGGAAGTGTAGGTGGTGAAGGAGGCTCAAGCTAGGTCAAGAGGAAGAAGAGATCCAAGCAAGAAAATTAGGCTACAAGAGGTATAACCCCATGGATTCCTCTTTAAATTTGGCTCTGTGAAGCCTAGTTTTGAGTAGAAATGAGTAGAAACTATGAGTTTTTGATGTGTTTATGCTTAGAAGTGATTTAGCATGTGTTTGTGAGTTGTTGAGATTGTTTTGGACTTGTTTGGATGAGATTTTGCAGGAGAAATGCCATCTGGTGCACAACACAGTGTGCACCAGATCAGAGTGGCGGCCCTAGCCGCGGCGCATCAGAAGGGCCACCGGCTAGAGCCGTTGTGGCATGGGACTAGGGCACGGCCCTAGAGGAGGGCCGTTGCCTAGTCCCGGCGCATCAGCGGTGCTCCAGGGGCGGACCATGAAGAGTCCCGCCACAGGTCCCTGAGTATTGTCTATGAAGGATTTTTGTGCAGTGGCCGGGCCCTTGTGGCTCAGCTACGTGTTGTTTCAGACTGAGTGTTACGGGCCCTTGTGGCTCGGCTCTTCGGGATCGTCTCGACGCACGTTTTGGCTTTGATTTCGTTGAATTTAGTTTAAAAACAAGTATGTTATGAAGGATTATTTGAAGAATTGCTACATAGTAAATGATTTGCTAGTTTACTGTGTATGAAGAATTATTTCATTATTGTGATCTGATGATATTTTATTGAGTAAAGAAGCATGATCCTTTGAGAATATGATTTATTATTACAGCATGATTAAATTGTGTTATTTGATCAATGAGAAAAGAAGCATATTTGTTGAGTGAAATGTATAGAATTTGCTA